AAAGTAGAGAAATGTGGTGGTAAAATAGGGAAATTTGGTTGTGAAATAGGGAAAAGTGGGTGAAAAACCTGGGAAAATGGATGGAAGAGGTGATGGAGAACTGGGAGGTAGGGATGAGAAAGGGTCTGGAAAATCAGGAAAGAATGGCCAAAAAATAGGGGAAAAAGGTTGAAAACCATTAAAAACTTGGTAAAAAGCATGGAAAAATGGGTGAAAACCATGGAAGAAAGGTTGAAAACCATTAAAAACTTGGTAAAAAGCATGGAAAAATGGGTGAAAACCATGGAAGAAAGGTTGAAAACCATTAAAAACTTGGTAAAAAGCATGGAAAAATGGGTGAAAACCATGGAAGAAAGGTTGAAATCCATGGGAAACTGGGTGAAGAACATGGAAAAAGAGATGGAAGAGGTGATGGAGAACTGGGAGATAGGGATGAGAAAGTATCGGAAAAATAGGGAGTAAATGGTCGAAAATATGGGGAAAATGGCTGAAAACCATGGAAAAATGTGGAAAAAATGGAAAAAATGTGCAAAAAATGGGAAAAATTTGGGAAAAATCCCGAGAAATGGAGGAATCCATGGCCAACTCCATTGCCATTGTCCTTGCAGGATGATCCCGGCCCCCAGCGCGTCGTTCTCGCTGTCGGACCTGGCGCCGGGCCGGGACTACGAGCTGTGCGTGCTGGCCGTGTTCTCGGACGCGCGCAGCTCGCTGCCGGCCACGCGGCCGCCGGGCAAAAATGGGGGGAAAATCCCAAAAAATGGGAAAAACAGTTGGAAAGTAGAGAAATGTGGTGGTAAAATAGGGAAATTTGGTTGTGAAATAGAGAAATTTGGTTGTAAAATAAGGAAAAGTGGGTGAAAAACCTGGGAAAATGGATGGAAGAGGTGATGGAGAACTGGGACATAGGGATGTGAAAGGGTCTGGAAAATCGGGAGAAAATGGCCAAAAATATGGGGAAAAGTCAGGAAAACAGGGAAAAAAGGTTGAAAACCATGGAAATCTGGGTGAAAACCATGGGAAAAGAGATGGAAGAGGTGATGGAGAACTGGGACGTAGGGATGAGAAAGTGTTGGAAAAATAGGGAGTAAATGGTCATCCAGAATTGATCCTGGAGGTCCAGAATTGATCCCGGAGGTCCAGAATTTGTCTAGAATGGTTCCTGGAGCTCCAGAATTGATCCTGGAGGTTCAGAATCTCTCCAGGAGATCCAGAACCTAACCACGACATACAGAATCTATCCAGGAGGTCCAGAATTGATCCGCAACCTCTCCAGGAGATCCAGAATTGATCCAGGAGGTCCAGGATCTATCCAGGAGCTCCACAACCACTCCAAGAGCTCCAGAATGTCTCCAAGGACAGCTCGGGAGTCATTCCAGCCCCTCCAGAACCATCCAAAACCTCAGGAATGTCTCCAGAACCGCTCCAAGGACCTTTCTGGATCCACTCCAGAACCTCTGGAACCGTTCCCTGGACACCTCTGGATCCATTCCAGAACCTCCGGAAGCACTCCAAGGACCCTTCTGGAATCATTCTGACCCCTCCAGAGCCATCCAGAACTTCTCCAGAACCTGCAGAACCACTTCCAGGTCTCCAGACCATTTGGAACTCCTCCAGAACCTCCAGAGCTTCTCCAGAACCATCCAGAACTTCCAGAACCACTCTGAGAACCCTTCTGGACCCCACCCAGAACCTCCAAAACTTCTTCAGAACCTCCAGAACCTCTCCAGAACCTCCAGAACCGCTCTGAGGAACCCTCTGGATCCCATCCAGAACCTCCAGAACTGCTCCAAGAACCCCTCTGGATCACCTCCAGGACCTCCAGAACCGCTCTGGGACCCCTCTGGATCCCACCCAGAACCATCCAGAACCTCCAGAACTTCTCCAGGACCTCCGGAACTCCTCCAGGACCTCTCCAGGACCCCTGTGGCCGCAGCCGAGGCTTCCAGAACGTTCCAGGACCTCCGGAACCGCTCCAAGGACCCCTCTGGGACCTTCAGAACCATCCAGGACCTCCAGAACCGCTCTGAGGAACCCTCTGGATCAGCTCCAGGACCTCCAGAACCTCTCCAGGACCTCCAGAACTTCTCCGGAACTCCTCCAGGACCTCTCCAGGACCCCTGTGGCCGCAGCCGAGGCTTCCAGAACGTTCCGGGGCCTCCCGCGGGCCTTTAAAATATTTAAATACTTATTTATATATGTTTATTTATTTATATTATTTATTTATTAATATTATTTTTATTTATATTATTTATTTATGTATTTAATGTATTTATTTCTTTATTTAAGAGGATTTTTTGGGGGAAATTTTTTTTGGAATTTTTAAAAATTTTTTTTTGGGGGGGGAAATTAAAAAAAAAATTGGGGGAATTTTTTTTTTTGTATTTTTTGGTATCTTTTTTTTTTAATTTTGGGGGGATTTTTCAAAGTTTATTTTTTTGTTTTCCCAGCGTTGGATCCGAGACTTTTTTTGGTAAAAAAAAAAGGACAAAATAACAACAAAAAAAAAGGGAAAAAAAAGAAAAAAAGAGAAAATTCTGGGATTTTTTTTTGTTTCTGAATCCAGCCGGGAATTCTCTCAGGATCCTGGGATTCCCAAAAAACCAAAAAAAGCTGGAATTCTTCATCGCGCCGAGGATTTGTTATAAAAATTCTTAATTTCGCAACTCCGAGTGGCTTTTTGGGGGTTTGGGGTGGGGGATTCCAGGAGGTCCTGAAAAAACCCCAAAAATGGGGAAAAATGGGGAAAATTGGGGGAAAAAATGGGGAAAACTGGGGGAAAAAGGAGGGAAAATTGAGGGAAAATGGGGGAAAATAGGGAAAATTGAGGGAAAAAATGGGAAAAATTGGGGAAAAAATGGGGAAAAAGGAGGGGAAATTGGGAAATAATTGGGGGAAATTTGGGAAAATTGAGGGAAAAATGGGAAAAATTGGGGGGGGGAAATGGAAAAATTGGGAAAAAATGAACAAAAATTGAGGAAATTGGGAAATAATTGGGGAAAATTGAGGGAAAAATGGGGGAAAATGGGAAAAAATGAAGGAAAATTGAGGAAATTGGGAAATAGGGAAAATTGAGGAAAAATGGGGGAAATTGGGAAAATGGGAAAAATTGGGGAAAAATGAGGGAAAATTTAGGAAAAAATGGGAAATAATTGGGGAAAATTGAGGAAAAATGAGGGGAAATTGGGAAAAAAATTGGGGGGAAATGGGAAAAATTGTGGAAATTTGGAAAATTGAGGGAAAAATGGGAAAAATTGGGGAAAAATGAAGGTAAATTGAGGAAAAAATGGAAAAATTTGGGGGAAAATGAGGGAAAATTGAGGAAATTGGAAAATAATTGGGAAAAATTGAGGAAAAATGGGGGAAATGGTGGAAATTTGGGAAAATTGGGGAAAAAATGAGGGAAAATAGGAGGAATTGGGGAAAATGGGGAAAATTTGGGAAAATAGAGGAAAAATGGGGAAAATTGGAAAAAAATGATGGAAAGTTGGGGAAATTTGAGGAAAAATGTGGGAAAATGGGAAAAATGAGGGAAAATTGAGGGGAAAATGGGGAAGAAATGGGGGGAAATGGGGAAGAAATGGGAAATTTGGGAAATGGAGGAAAAATGGGGGGGGGGATACCCAGGGTGGCACCAAGGACCTCAAAGGTGACACTGGGGACATCCCGGGTGGCACTGGGACCCCAAAGGTGGCACTGGGGACAACGAGAGTGGCACTGGGGACCCCAAAGGTGGCACAGGGACCCCAAAGGTGGCACTGGGGACATCCCGGGTGGCACTGGGGACATCCAGGGTGGCACTGGGAACCTCAAAGGTGACACTGGGGACATCCAGAGTGGCACTGGGGACATCCCGGGTGGCACTGGGGACATCCAGGGTGGCACTGGGAACCTCAAAGGTGACACAAGGATCCCAAAGGTGGCACTGGGGACATCCAGGGTGGCACCAAGGACATCCAGGGTGGCACCAAGGACCCCAAAGGTGACACTGGGGACAACGAGAGTGGCACTGGGACCCCAAAGGTGGCACTGGGAACCTCAAACGTGGCACAAGGATCCCAAAGGTGGCACTGGGGACATCCAGGGTGGCACTGGGGACATCCCGAGTGGCACTGGGACCCCAAAGGTGGCACAAGGAACCCAAAGGTGTCACTGGGGACATCCAGGGTGGCACTGGAAACTCAAAGGTGGCACTGGGGACATCCAGAGTGGCACTGGGGACATCCCGGGTGGCACTGGGGACCCCAAAGATGGCACTGGGACCCTAAAGGTGGCACTGGGGACATCCAGGGTGGCACTTGGGACCCCAAAGGTGACACAGGGACCCCAGAGGTGGCACAGGGACCCCAGGGGTGGCACACAGAGTGACACAAGTGTCACCGTGCTGTTTTATTGCCCATGTCCTGTGCCAACCTCCTGACCCCGGGGTTGGGGCACTCGGGGGGCACTTGATGGCCCCTGGGGTGGCACAGGGACCCCAGGGGTGGCACAGGGACCCCAGGGGTGGCACAGGGACCCCAAGGGTGGCACCAGGACCAGGTAAAGTGGCACTGGGACCCCAGAGATGGTACCAGGGACACCAAGGGTGGCACTGGTGACAATGACAGATGTCACCGCGATGTTTTATTGCCCATGTCCTGTGCCAACCTCCTGACCCCGGGGTTGGGGCACTCGGGGGGTTCTCAATGGCCCTGGGGGTGACACAGGGACCCCAAGGGTGGCACCGGGACCAGGTAAAGTGGCACAGGGACCCCAGAGATGGTACCAGGGACCCCAAGGGTGGCACTAGGGCCAAGTGGCACAGGGACCCCAGAGATGGTACCAGGGACCCCAAGGGTGGCACAAGGGACAATGACAGATGTCACCGTGCTGTTTTATTGCCCATGTCCTGTGCCAGCCTCCTGACCCCGGGGTTGGGGCACTCGGGGGGCTCTGGGGACACTCAGAGGGACCCCAAGGGTGGCACAGGGACCCCAAGGATGGCACAGAGGGGACAATCAGAGATGTCACCGAGCTGTTTTATTGCCCATGTCCTGTGCCAGCCTCCTGACCCCGGGGTTGGGGTACTCGGGGTTCTCGATGGCCCCGGGCCCGAATTTGAGCTCCAGGAAGCCCCGGGGGTCGTTGGGCGCTTTGGCCGCCACCCCGGCGAACGTCACGGTGCCCAGGGGCACCAGGAAGGCCTCGGGGAACTCCACGTCCTGCCGGTGGCCCAGCCACGTGTCCTTGGTCATGACGGCGGCGGCGGCGCCGGGCCGGGCGTAGAACGGCCACAGGTCCACGTGCAGCCGGTTGGAGCGGCTGAAATGGACGCGGTAAAACTCCCCCTCGGCCGCCTTCTCCCACAGGAACCCCTGCGGGTCCTCCACCGGCCGGCCCGTGGCCGCCACGGCCGCCAGCCAGCGGCACTTGGGGACGTCGTCGCGGTACAGCCCCACGTCCACGTCGTAGTCCCAGGGGATGATGTCGCCGAGGCGCACGGCGCCCAGCAGCGTGCCGCCCTCCAGCCAGTGCCGCACGCCGGCCGCCTCCAGCTGGGCCAGCACGTGGCGCGCCGTGGCCCGCAGCGCCCGCAGGCAGCACGGCGGCGTCCAGCGCCCGGCCAGCAGGTACTCGGGGGTCTGCCAGCGCACCGTGCCGAAGCAGCGCGGCGTCTCCTTGGCGCAGCCGTGCCAGCGCCGCGAGCCGTCGGGCAGCACCTCCAGCTTGAGGCCGAAGCGCTCCAGCAGCGCCCGGCGCTGGGCGTCCAGGGAGCTCCGGGCGCGCCACTGGCCGTGAGGGGATGGCGGCGGCCGCGGCGCCAGCGGGGAGGCGGCCGGCAGCAGCAGCAGGCGCCAGCCGCGCGCGGCCGCCTGCAGGGACAGCGAGGCCACCACGGGGCGCGCCAGCGGGAAGGGCAGCGAGAAGAGGTCGCGCGTCCGCAGCAGCAGGACGGCCGGGGCGCCGTCCAGCGTGCCGCAGAGCTCGCCGCGCTGGTCACTCTGCTGGCCACCGTGCTGGTCACCGTGCTGGAAACTCTTCGGGTCACCCTGCGGGTCGCTCTGGTGCTCAGCGAGGCCGTAGCGCACCGTCCACGCCTTGATGTCCACCTCCACGGTCAAGCACCGCGGCCGCCGCTGCCCCACGGCCGCCGCCACCACCCTGACGGTGGCATCCGAGGCGGCCTCCAGCGCGTCCCTCATGCGCCGCAGCAGGCGGAGGTTGAGGGCGATGGCGGCGGCCAGGGCGGCCTGGCAGGGGGTGATCCTCATGGCGTTGGGTTAATTAATTCATTAGTTGGGTGGTTAATTAGTTAATTGGTGGGGTAATTCATTTGGAGGTGGTGCTGTGGTGGTGGCGGCGATGCCAGCGGTGACCACGCGGTGGCGCTGTGGAGGCGAAAATGTTAATGAGTTGTTAATGAAGGGTTAATTAATTCACGATAATTAAACGCCGCCCCAAAAAAATCCCAAAATCTCTAATCCACCAAAGAACCCTAAAATTCCCAAAATTCTCTATAAATCACCAATGAGCACCCTGAAAAAATCTTCTAAGCTGACCAAAATCCCCTCTAGCCTTACACAGACCCCACAAAACCCCCCAAAAATCCCCTATAAACCCCCCAAAATCCCCCCAAAAATTAGAATTAATTCCTGATAATTAAACCCTGCCCCAAAAAAATCCCCTCTGATCTTCCAAAAAATTCTAAACCCTCCCAAACTCTTCTCTAATCCATCAAGGAATAATAAAATTCCCAAAATTCTCTATAAATCACCAATGAGCACCCGAAAAAATCTTCTAAACTGACCAAAATCCCCTCTAACCTTCCACAGACCCCCCCCCCCAAAAACCCACCCCCCCCCAAAACCCCAAAAAA